AAAGTATAATGCAAACCACGGAACTACAGGCTCCCAGTGACCTACCTGGCCAGAGCCAATATCTACCACCTGGTCACACCTGGCGATCTCGCTCAGTTTCTTCACCACCTGAGGAAAAAATAAAGGTGCAGACTCATCAAGGAACTTGTCAGCAGAAAGGCCCAGGCTGTCCAGCTTGGGTGCGGAGAGTTAGCCACCGAAATCCACGTTGCAACACCTAGGGAGCTGGCCTGCTTCTCGACGCAGCTTCCGCCGACTTCAGGGTACAACATCTTGACAGATCAGGCCTCTTTTATTGGGCTGCTCAGTCGAGGATGCAGCTAGGAGAACCCCCAGCTAGGAGAACGTTGGCCAATGGCCTTCGCACTTTTCCTTATCACGACCCTATGTTGCAACTGAAAAAACGGTGGGGACCCCCTGATCAAGGGAGGACAGCGGTGACCGCCCTTGGACCCGCGTGTGACCCCCTTTCCCTCTGGAACTGCAACTCCCCCGCTGGAAACCCATGATCTTGGCCTTTGCCAGAGGAAGGCCTGGACTCAAGCGCTGGTCTTCCTCCTCCAAGAAATGCCATTCCTCAGAGCTGAGGAGAGTCACCTTCTAACTAATCTGATCGCTTCATCACCCTGCTACTAGGAATTATACTACGGAGGCTGTTGCTCATTCTGCTTTGATGGCATTCTAGCCGCATGGGCTGGAGACACAGTGGAGATACAGCCAGCCATCGTGGTGGATGGAAGGAGCGTGATAATGGAGTGACTTGGTGGCATGTTAGGCTGTCTTTGCCTACCCTACAGCACTGCTCTTAATGACTTGTGTTCTCCTAGTGCTAGGAGCCTCAGTCATGGACCAGGACCCCGTGCTGCTAGGAATCTTCTCTCTGTGGCTCTGTTCCTGAGCACTCCGCGCCTGTTCCAATCAATAGGCATCTTTCCATCATCTTCAGAGGGCTTTGGGTTAGGCCCCTCATGAACAGTCTTTTCATGCGGGCTGTCTTCCAACATAGCTTATGGGGCTTTAATAAGCGGAGACACCAAGTTCTGGTGAGCTCAGTGCCGCAGGCAATACCGAGACCTCAACATTCACCGTACTGGACACGGTACCATGCTGTCTTCTCTTCTGCCTACAGGGAGATAGAGCCTGAGCCAAAGCCCTTTGGATTTGATGGAAAGACTCCCGTTGACTTCAGCGAACGCAGAGTGCCCATCAGCGCATCTTGATGCTCCTGGGGATGTGAAGTGGGAAAGGAGGCTAGGATAGGAGAAAGCGAGACCCCAGAGATGGGGGTAGACCCAAGGGCTGCTGGATTGGAGTCACAGCTATAGTGATGTCATCATTCCTACTGGGGACAAGAAATGCTAGCCACAGACCTTCCCGAGCTGCCGGATTTCATGCTGCTTTTTCGGCTTGACGTGCTTCCGGAAAAGGGGGTTAAGCTTCGAGCTCTGACACCGGTTCTCCCTGAACTCCTCTGGCCTCCCGTTCGCTGACGTGCCGCCTCTGCCACGAGGCGTTCTGGAGAAAGCCAATGTGTGCGCTGTAGCTTTAAAGGCCAGCAAGGAGAGCGGCCACACCACGCTGTAACTGGCAGAACAAGGACCGCAGTTAGTGTATGGACAAGGAGTTCCCATTGCTGTCGCACCAAAGGGACTGAACAGACTACGGCTGTACAAATCACTTCACCCACCGGGGAAATGCGGCCACCTCTGGAGTAGAATGCGGCAGCTGTTTAACAGCACAGAGGAACAGTATGTGAAAGTTCAGGATGGGTGGTAACGAAGCAAATCATATCCAAGTTGAACTGCATGGGGAATTTAAGGAGGCAGAATGCTGGATTTAGGCCACTGGGAATGCAACCCTGACTCTTGCGAATAAAAAAAATGCTGTGGTGTCTTTAAAGGCCACAAGTCTCTGCCTATCTGTATCTCTAAGCCTTTCCAAAGCACCTGTCAACATATCTAGCCACTGAGTGGTCGGGGTTTCATATCCTCTCTGATAGGCATTTCCCCTATCACCACAGCACTCCCTAGCACCATGCGAGGGCTTTGGTCCAGGACTGACTCAGAGGGAAAAACATCCTCTGCTATAACTGACAATGCAGCCTGCAGACACAAGCCCTGCCTGCAGCCCTATGCCCCTTGCAAACCCCTGCAGCTAAAACAAGCCCACAGAGGACACTAGTAAAGCCCCTTTGACAGGAGCATGTTCTTACCAAACTTCCTCCGGTTTTCCTTTCTCGAGCAAGACGGCAGCGAGTTGCGGGGAGGGGAGATCGGTGAGCACTGCCTGCCAGGAATAAGGAAGCTTCCCCCAAAGATTATCGGTGAAAAACTCCTGCAGGGAAGAAAGGGTGATGGGGAAGGGGAAAGTTTAGGCAACAGCACTCATCATCCCAGCCCACCCCCAGCACTCAAACCCCAACCGAGATAATGGCCCCATTGTGCTAGGCGCTGTTCATATACATAGTGAGTGACAGTCCCTGCCCCAAACTGTTTACAATCTAAATAGACAAAACCGACAAAGAGTGGGAGTGGAAACTGAGGCACAGAGTAGGGCAGTGACTTGACCAAGGTCACACAGCAGGTTGATGGCAGAGGCAGGAATGAATCCCCAGTCTCCTAAGTCCCAGGCCAGCGCCCTACATGCTGGACCCCGCCGCCTCTCAGCAAAGCCCAATCGCGGTTTGAATAGGACTCACAATGATGTATGAGTCCACAATGGAGCCATAGAGAGAGAGGACATGGGTGATGTTCACTGCTAACTGCTTCTGCTCCTCCAAAGAGAGGGGCTGGCCGGAGAGCCCCGTCATGGCAGTGGCTGTGGGGTGAACCTGAGAGATGGGAAATGGTGCATGAAGAAAGAGTTAAAACCTCCTAAAAGGAAAAAGGGAGAGACTCACCGAGCAGGAAGGTCCGACTGAACGCGCTTGGCTCCTTTAATTACTCTTTGCAGCCAGGGGCTGCTTATGTAAAGGGTTTGGGGATGAGGGGCACTTCCTGGGGGAGAGGGAAGGCCAATTCAATGAGGCATTCACCCCCTGGCATCTCTGCCAGGCTTGGGAGTGGGTTGGTGATGTGGGCTCCTTTACACTAGCAAATGGGCTGAGGTCCAGCAAACTCATTTCCCGTATGATGCTGAACAGCCCTCCAAAGGTCTGGATCCAAGCTGGCGCCTGCGAGGGGAAGGCCCCATATCCCATTGCCTCGTGCCACTGTTGCGCTGTGCCGGGTGGCAGCAGCCTGTGCCGTGCCGTGCCATCCTGGCATTGGCTGGGTGGGGCGCTGTGGCTGCACCGTCACACGGCGCATTGTGTCGTGTGACCGTGCGTCACCAGGGGTTGCCAGGGCGTTACACTCACAAGACATTGTGGTGATGTCATGACACGGGGCATTAGCGTGGCATCACTCAGTGAGGTGTTGCCGTGACATTGTGCTGTGACACCACGTCACTGTGACATCACCCTGAGACGTTGCCATGACATTACAGTGCGACATCGCACTGTTGTGATGTGTCAGGGCCTGGGGCATCAGCGCGAAATCACTCAGTGAGGCGTTGCCATGACACTGGGCTGTGACATCACCAGGAGGCGTTGCCATGGCATTACACAGTATAACTGTGACGTCGTGCCGCGACGTCATGCCACTGTGATGTCACCGCACGGCACGTCGCTATGACATCACCCATAATGCAGTTCTGTCTGTGTCGCCAGCAGACGTCACCAGCCCCTGTCCCCGCCCGAGGGAGGCGCAGCCCGAGGCTCCTGGCCCCGCCCCCTCCCGCAGCTCCTTTGGCCCCATAGAGCTCACCCTCCGCAGGGCTAGAGCGCCCAACGGCACATCGCACCCACTCACCGCCAGCTCTCTATGGTCTCCCTCGCCGCAGGACCGCGCAGGCGCAAGCGCCCTCCCAGCCCCGCGCGCCTCCAGAGGGGCACACGCATGCGCACAATCTCGCCTCTGTGCCTCAACAGCCTGGGCGCATGCGTACACTGTCTTACGGCTGACCCCCGCCCTCCCACCTCCGCCGCCGCTCACTCCTGGCGCATGCGCACGACTCTTCGCGGCCCATGCTCCTTCCTGACTTTTGTTGTGCGTCCCTCCCCGTGTCCCCCGGCGGCGGGGCAGTTTGCACTTCCGCTTCCGGCTGCAGCTGCCTGGCTTGGTCTGACTGGCCCAAGGAGAGAGGGTGAGGGGTGTGGGGATCAGTGGGGGAGGGGGATCAATGGGGTAGAGGGATGGGGATCAGTGGGGTAATGGGGGATCAGTGGGG